GCTCGTATTTCCTCAAGTCAGTTGTTTCTTCCAACTTTGCGCATGTACACTAAATATCAGAAAGTTTTCTTTGGGTGATTACCATAAGAGTACATGCAAATTTTAAGTGACTATAATTTTTCAAAAAAGCCATGAATTGATTTAAAATTTTGCAGGTAGCTTTTCAATAGTAATAGGAATGTATAACAACAAATTCAACATGCTAGCATTGTTTAAATGTATAGCCTATACATCGTTAAGCGTAAATCGTGGATTCGCGCAAATTCGTGTGATTTCCCTCGAAATAATTTCGTTACCAATGAGAAGCGAAATATTTCTACGTTATTTATATAAATCGGTAAAAGATGGGTAGAGAACGGGACGGGGCGGTGTTCGAGGAACGTGAATTCTTTACGAACGAACGCATTTAGGGGAAAGAGAACTCCGGGGTGTGCTTAAGTTGCTTTCACTATAAACCCTTCGCCGGGAACTTGTTTTCGCTTCGAAGCGGGCCAGGAGATCTTTTAAGCGAGGAAAAGGAAAATAGGAAATAGAAATTAAGATCCGGCGGGTGATGTTTCAAGGTAATAGCCATAACGTTTCATCTGAAAATATCGCCGCGCAGGAAGGAGCCGGAAGTGGTTCTCGAAAGTCGGATAAACGAATATTCGAGCCAGCTTTCAACGCTTTTGCTTTCACGGATAAGTCGTTTGACGAGACATTAAGAACTCGTTTGTCAATTTGACGTGACAATCACACGTCGATGCGACGATTGCCAGTTTTAGCTTTTCATGACAATTGCAAGTGAAGAAGTATAACGTTTCAGAGTCCAAACTGCTGATGATCCTTTGGCGACTCGTGACTTGACTCTAACGACCAGCACACGGATCTTTGAAGCATGGCTTCCGTTCTTTTTGCAGAGAATGTCGTCGATGCGAACGCAGTCGACCAGCGGCGGTGTCCTGGGGCTGAGCAGCGTCGGTTCCGACAGGACCGGTGCCACGTCGACCGGCGCCGGTTCGCATTCGCACTCGCACAGGAAACACCATCACCAGCACAGAAGCAGAAGCGCGCCCCGGGCGCCGGAGAAACCGCCACGGAAACGGCACCTGAACCCTGGCCACAGCCTAGCGTCGATCCCCAGCCAGATCAAGTTGTCGATGTTGAACAGCGGCCTCATCTCTTTCGGTGAGTTCGGCGACGATTCGTCGCAATTTCCGCCGGGGTACCTCCGCGCGAACAGGAGGCTTTGTAAAGATTTTCCACGTCACGGCGATAGAAGATTCGTAACTCGATTCGATCAAACACGGGTGCGCCTCTTACCAGCGTTTTAGATGCTTTTAGTCTCTGGCTCCTATGGCCCGTATATTGTACTAGTAGTAGCCTGCTCGTTTTTCACGACTCGTTTCGTATAACGTACAAACGGGGGATAAGAAAAACGAGCGATATCCTCTCGCAGCTGACGTATGTGCATACAGGCGTGAGACAATAAGAGCCGCCCTTTGAAATAGTGGGACGTTTATGGGTTTCATTAAAAGCTTTGATAAATTCAATTTCGCAACGTTGGTATCTGATCTGTGAAATTCTCGCGAAGAATTCAAACGAATCAGTGTGACGAATATTCGACTGCTGACTTATACGATGAATCGAAAACATTGCATTGTCAACGTAGGGGGACAGTACGTGGGAGCATCGAATCAATATTGAAAGTCATCAAACCTTTCAGGAGTTGCGTTCTATCTCTGCTGATAATTACACGCATCATGCTACGTATAAATAAATATATTTGCCCGAATCGATTTCCCACGGTGGTAGAATAATTGCGCCGGGGGTATCTCGTATTCATAATTAATCAATTCCCCGATGAACAGTGACACGTTTACGTATCCTGGCTTATTAGGTTTCAAGCGTTGTCCGTTTGTGTAGACACGCGCGGCGACTCGATAGGTTGTACATTCTTCTCTAGCCTGATCGACTCGGAATTTTGAATAAAGGCAGGAGATACACAGAACAAAGAGACTGGAAAACGTGCCAAAGCGTCCGGCTCGTAGAGGCACGCGCTAGATCAAAGCGTTTATTTCCTCGCAGCTTTATTTCGATCGCGACCGACGATCAGTCGAGCCGAACTAGGGACAACGTTCGGCATCGCGTTATATGTATACGCGTATCCGTGTCAAGATCAGCCGAAAAGAAAACGACCATGGATGCCCCTCGTGGCAGTCTAATTGCGGGCCAGAATCTGATGGACCGCTGATCTTACGAGTCTACAAAAGAGTAAACATTTTTAAAATAACGCGGGATGACGGAATGTTTAATGTACGATCAAATGTTAGAACGTTTATATGAATAATAGAGTTTTGTACGCGGATTTTTGAAGAATAAAAGTTAAAACTAGTTCCCCTGAGCTTCGAAACTTGAGTGCTGAAAATCAGCGGACGTACACACGACACAATTGTTCTTCGATTTTGAATTCTGAATTATTTTTATCTGACATGGCGTTAGTGCACTGATCAAAGTCCTCCATGATTCCGTGCGAATCTCACGAGCCGAATCGGATATACTTGCGGACGGGAGTGTACGTCTCGCGTGTAAAAATAATTCAGGATCGCGGCAGTAAACGCCCTCGAGGAATGCACCTCGGCCACCGCCGATTGTGAGCTTTCGCGGGCCGTTAAGTACTCGTATCCCGAACGAGCGTCGGTCGCGTGTTCGCGCCAGTGACACGAAAAGCCGGGGGAAGAGAATGGAGGGCTCGGGCACTGGGTCAACTACTTTATTTTTGGTAATTTTCAAATTTGTACACCGTGGCTACGGCTAGACCGCGTTCAGCTCGAGCGTGTACAGTCATCAGAATTTCGAGTGTATACATTTACTCGTTCGCGTTTTTAATCGCGTAAGCTGCTCGCCCTGTTTCAATCGAGAATAATGAGTTTGACTCGTGGTGTACCATTCACAGACTGCCAACGTATGCGATCTTTATAACTTCGTAACGTTTGTTCGATTCGAATGAATCGTTTTATGCGTTTTCGTATGTTTCGTATGTACAAGACGAATCGATTGCATAAAAATGTACAGTCTAATTGTCGACTGCCGAACGTTTGATCAATTGAATTAGCCACGTGAACGAAATCATGTTAGAGAACGATCGTGGGAACGAGTATCTCTGGCGACAGAATTAGATAGACATGATCCAACGTTTAACATAAAATTGTCAAGCCGAAAGATGGCACGAATCAAAGAGGTGCTCGATCGAGCACCAGGAGGCTATTAACTCATTTTTTCGCGGTATCGAAAAGCCGGGGGCAAAGGGTAGGGGAGAGTGTCGCGGGGGAATGACAAACAGTATTTTTTGTCCCGACCCCGGTGGATGCTGAACGAGATTGAACGACACCCGGCTCTCGCGTCCGTGTTTGTTCTTCCTTTTATTTCGCGTCGTTTCACCGACCACCTCCGTCGTTTCTACCTCCCCTTTTGTTCCTTTGACCTCCTTCGACGCGGCGAAGCCTTTTCCCGTCGGCTTGTCGCGGTTTTCATTCACGATTTTTAACACTCGTAAAAAGCTTACAAGTCTGAACCGCCGCCGTCACCGTCGCTCTTCACAATCTTCTAAACAAATTAATACGCGACGATTCTTTCTCAATTTTATTAACGTGAGCGAATTTAATTACCACCGACTGAATATTTAACGTTAAATGCAGATCCGTGGGTTATAAATATGAAACAGTGTGCGTATTGGAAATCTCATGAGTACTCATGAGGAAATTCGAGGTAGAGCGAAAAACCGTGCGAAATCGGGTCTTACGTACATATTTGAAAATTGGCCGCGATGCTCTTTAATTGAATATTCGCGTAGTCGGCGTCATTACTGGGAAAGTCGCTTCTTTGCCAGCGCGTCTCGCTCTACCTGGAATCCCTTTTAAAAGAAGGGAATATAGGAGTGGTTTTGAGCGAAAAATTCCGCGAATAAAAGGGGAACTCGATAAGCTCTCGACCGGGGGATGGGGAAGGACGGGGGAGGACGAAACGCGATGGAATTGCTCGGTCTCCGAATTTAACTAGTTTTTGTATATCCGTGGTCCTAAAGCGGGCTCTCCATTGTATTCCGTGGAATCGTCTCTTTTCAAACGTAATCCCTCTTTTCTATACGTCGTATACGTCTCCGAGCAGATACGCGAACGCAAACGTTCGCAACGCGTTCGTAACAGAGATGAAATTTAACGTTATTGTCCACGTTCGTGTACCGCAATTTCTTTTCCGCCGAACACGAGCGTGTTCCTACCTTCTAATCAAATCAGACGTTTGACGCACCGATCAGTGCCTCTATAGAGGCAGTTTCTTCGACGCCCAGGCACCTCGTCATCAGCAATTCGAGCCCAGACATTTAGGCGATTCCAGGTCGTAAATTATAGCCCCGATGTGTCGTCCAATCAGTCGCGAGCGACAACTTCATTTCTGATTGATTCGATCGCCTTACGGAATCAGTCCTCCATTCAAAGTGGCACTAATAAATCAGACGGGGACGTCGATCGAGAGCTCAAACACGTAGAGACGTAGAATCATCGTTGGAGAAGACCAACGGCGCCCGGTGCCGTCCTAACGATTTCCTATAAATTGCAAAGTAATTCTTACTCGATAAAATGATCTCTCGGCGCAATTTCCGCGTCCGAGTAACGTAGGTAGGAACCGTTGTTTGATCCGAGGGACCGTGTTTAATTAGACGGTGGTAGCAGGCGCATCGTCTTACTTACCATTTCCACCCCACAAAGCAGACGCGTTAGGTAAACTAATATCCCGGGGACTGGTTCTCGCGAGTCCGCTTTGATATTACGCTTTATTTCAACCGTTTACAACCGACCCGACGTAAAGACGGAGCCAAGTATTACATGAGCTAAAAATAGTTTGCCATTCTCGTTTTAGGCAAATCGTTTCCTACTCCTTGCCCGAGGATTTAATCGAATTATTTTCGTGCCTTCCGATAGCATCGATCTCGACGCTCCGGCTATTTCTTCGTTGACGCAAGCTTCCAAAATACACGCGAACTTGGAATCCCCGCCTGTCTAAATATTTCCCTTCCGCGGAATTTGCGCTCTTCGAAGAATCTAATTATTAGATTTTTATGTAAAACGTAGAATGCAGGATTAAACAGTCTAAATATGCTTTGAATTTGTTCATTAAATTTAATAATGTCAGCGTGCTCGTCGCGTGTAACGTTAAAAATGCACGGGAAGACGAAAATCTGCGGTCTACTAATTACATAAAACTGTTTAACGTGACGTCGGCAAGTGGAAGCATGCGAACGTTGTTTCCAGGATCAAAGAGAATTTCTGCTAGATCTCATAATCCGACACGCGTCTCCTGAACCGTTCCTACGTGCGAGACGCACGAAAGACATCGATAATTTTCGCATGAGCCTAAAGCGTTTTATTAACCGATCGAGTGCGCTTGTAAACTGGCATACCAATCGCGTTCGACTCGGCTTCAATCCGTTCTCGACATCGGCAAGTTCTGCGTGACGGAAAGTGGATTCGATTGGAAGCCACCGACACCGTGCTCTCTCTCTCCCCCGTTCCACGACTTCTTCCCTCTGATCCCGTCGCCTCTGTTCTACAAACCTCCCACGTATTCTCCGTCGAACCAGATTCCTCCTTCTCCGCCGCGCTGTTCCTTCGCCGTTCTCCCGTTGGCAATTTTTCTTCCGACGTCTACCCGAGTGCTATTCCGACTTTTTCTTACCCACTGACGTTCCGAACTTCAAATCTCGACATAGACTACTGGCACCGATTCGCTCTTTCGTGTATTCACGACATCTTCCGAACACGGGAAACACCGTGTATCAGCTGGAGATTAATCGCTGGCCACTTAAAGTGGTCACTTCAACTGTTTTCGCATCGACTTAATAGACGTACGAATCGTTCAAACCGTCCGAATAATAATAAATTCCATGACGTGTCTGCGGAACGTGAATTATAAAGGATGAATCTAAAGTCTGAATTGGTCAGCCACGGGTGTGGTGTGAATCTGGCTGTGCGCGATGGATAATCTACTGCCAGTGGCTCGACTCAATGGCAGGTCGGGCATCGGTAATCCTCTCGGGCTGGAAGATCGACATGAATTCGTAACGAGACAGGGAACCTTTCCGTGTGTAAAAATAGCAGAATCGTACACGTTGCGGCGATTTCGATCGAGGGTCGGATAGCGGTGAAAATTTTATCGACCGGCCGCCTTTAGTCTCTGGTCTATCACCTAAGGACGTCAACCCCGTGTTTGCCCAGAAATGACCTGCTCTCGCTGATGATCGCGAGAAAGTTTCCGTCGACGGAAACGACCAAGATAAATACGTGTGGTGAACGTTACGATGACGAAATTGTCCGAGCCAAATGGACGAGACCCTCGAAACTGCGTTTAAGAAAATACGTGGTTTCGTCTGAATACAGCGACCGACGAATCGATCGGTGAGCAGAAGTTGCGAGAAATATTTTTCACCGGCGAACGGGGAAGGTCGCCAGGTTCCCCGAGCAAAGTGGTCTGAGAACGTGGCGGTTCCAAGAGGGAAGTTCTCGTATCGCCCAACAAAGATGAAGGCCTGCTGCGTCGGCGATCCTGCGAGATACGTACCTAATGAACCACTCGACGCTCGACAAAGGTATTCGACATCGTATCGATCGTAAACGAAAATACACGACGACGACGTCGACGCGGCGTTTCAACGCGGCCTTACCAAACGCGGAATCATATTTATTTTAAGCTTATGCAGATGCGAATATTGAAACGTTGATACGTGGTATTAATACCGGAGGTAAACATTTGATATCTACGCTCGATACGAGGTATTAGACGTTGGCGTTCGTACCAGCTGGGTATCCAATGCTTTTATCGTTCTGTTGTTACTTGCCGGGTACACCTTGACAATTTCGACTGAGAGCACCTCTTCTGAAAAGAGACTCGGAGGTGGACGTTGAAAGATTAAAGACAAACACTTGCACCGACGTTTGACAATCTGTCATTCGCCCGAACGAAAATACGGAATTACACGAATCGATTTAAATTATTCTCACGGTCAAACGTAGACGTAATACGAATGTGGTCTCGACTATTGGACGGAGAAGTCGTACTATTCTTATAAATATTAACAACATATTATGGACAATGTATCTTAGCATGCTCCGTTTATCTGTTAATTTATTAGTTAGAACATTCGATCGAGAACGTTGAGACAGGCGTTGGATCTTTGTACGCTTCATTCGTTACCGTATGACATTTGACTAGAAACTTTTAGCCAGGGTACAGCCGAAAAATGTGAGAAAGAATTTTAATTTTCGACGTGAAAGAATGATCGGTCTCGATCGGCCTTGAGCCGGAGCGGAGCATAGTCGAGCACTTTCGAAGCTCGAAGACACTCGATCTAATTACATTAATTGCCCGTGTCGGTGGGAACAAAGAATATATCGTTGGCTAAAAGAAAGGCGGTAAAACGACATCTAACCAACAGAGATAAGCAGTTCTATGGACGATTGAACATCAACGGGAGGCAGTTGGACGGCAAACGAGCAACGGCGCACACACACAATTACTGTTGCTAAACAATTTTCTAGTAGGAAACTGGTTCGGGATTTATCGATCGTTCGAACGATCTCACCCCGTTGGGATCGATCATAAAGTAAAGATCTTCTACCGTTCTTTAATAAACCGATAATTTTACATGGTTACACAAAAAAAGCAGAAGCACTGCAGGTAACGCGTGAAACCATTACATATAACATTACAATTAAGTGGATTACTTCAACTTGAATGATAAAAGTAATTTCTATCTGAAATATCCTCAATGGAAATACGTCAAATATGTTGTTTCACAACAAAAATCTTATTTGTTTTACTTGTACAACTGGTGTTAGCTTTTTTGTACGACTACGTTAATTTTACATGTTTAATCGCAATTTTATGCATTTTCGCTTCGACTCGAAATTGCAGTCGCGATGGAACGGAATTAAAGTAGAGATGAAGGGGGCGGGGAGTAAGAGCTTCGATTCTCAAGAATAAACGAAGAGAAAAACATCTCATTTGCCCAAATACGGATTTACGCGGAGGGAAACGAGCACATAGAGAACCTCTTGCAGCGGCTTTCGGACGAACGCTGAAAGTAGCGAACAACGTTCTTTTCAAGGAACACCTCAAAGAACCAAGGGCCGGGAAAGAACAGTCGATTACCAAAGCAGAGGAAACGAAATGGCAATTAGCATTGGAAAAAAAAAAATAATTGACTGCACATTGATTTTTGCTACTCTCATTTCCTTCGAAACGAAGTACATTGGAATCGTGGAGACGTTCAGAGACTTTTCTATCTTTTCCAGTATTCTAATGTATTCTCTGAGAAATGGACCGCGGAGGTCATTCGTTTGTACTTATAGAGAAACTGAATGTAGCAATGAAAAACGTTCTGATATCGCAAACGTGTTATTTTGCACAAAAGCCAGTCTACTGATAAAATTATTTAAACCTGTTCTGTAGTTTCATTTCGTATGCGGGTATTGTAGCTAACGACGCTTTTAGATAAGGATCGATCGATCGATTGAAACTCGTGCAGAGTCGTTCCGCCGCGACTGACTGGTTGAAAGTCGGGGAGTTAAACGCGAACGGTTACGGTTCTTTGTACCGTGTCATCCACAGGTGCTACCCGAAATGATACCGCTGCCGTTCGTGCTCGCTTCGTTCTCGGATTTCCGCTTAACTCTCTCACCCGTCCATTCAGCAGCGTTTCACGAAACGATACGTTGACAGTTTCGTGAACGCGACGCGGATGTCACCAAGACAAACCACGCGTCTGCCAATCTTCTTCGCTCTATATACGTATAACGTGTCGCATTAGTTTTTCCGCTGTATCAGCAATTTCTTATCACCGGTTCAATCAGTGCGATTGCCAATCTCGTATGCAAAGCGAATCGTCGTCAGAAATAATGTAATAATTTATTGGTCTCGTTAAGAAGACCCGATGTAATCAATTCGTCATTGATTAATTGGAAGGATAAAGTTACTCATCGATTCATCCCTCGAGGATTCAGTCGATCAATCAGTCCCGTTCGGGTGATCTAATAGTGATTTTCACTGATGACGAGATTCAATAGTAATAGTTTTGCGAAAACTGGTGGAAGCAATAAAGACCGTTGTGTCATCGGATTCTCGCGGCCTATCGAACGCCGATAAAGGGTAATGAGGCTGTTGTACCGCCTGACTCTAACTATTGTTATGTAATCAAGGGAACAAAGCGGCTCCCGTTCGATACTGGGATGAAATTTCATCGTCTTCGAGGCTCGACCATGATACCGTCCATGTTTATTTCATGGGGTCGAGAATCACCGCTCATTGGATCTGACGCGATTCTTGACGATTCCGAGGGTACAAAAATACGATGGATAGTGCACGTGCAATAAAACAATAAGTCGTTCTCCCATTCTGATTTTATATCAGTCGCACTACCCCTAAGGTTGTCTGAAAACTTTTCGCCAGACGTAATAAGATCAGATGAATTTCTGTTATCTCGCGCGAGTTGTTTTTCATATCAGTGGCAGAAACGAGTTCGAAAATCGACTGTGTACGCGATGTTTGCCTCCGCCGTTCCAGTTTCGTCTCACGGTTACACATTGGAACGTGACAGCGTTCCAGAAAGCTCATGAGATTTTATACTCCGCGAGGGATGTTTATGCTCGGTGCCACGACGTTGACCCAGTTACGAAACAGTCTTTTAACACAATCGCGCACCCGAACCGATGCTCCGTTTGGATAAAAACGAGTCGGAACTGGGCGGGCGGCGGCGGTTCCCCTACAACTACTACTCGTTTACTCGCTCAACCGAAGACTCGTGTTTTCGACCGTGAATTACGACACTCTCTTTTTCACTGAGGTTTGAAACGAGTCAAGCCGATTTGCCTTTCGGCTAAATAATGAATTGCCACTGATTGCAACTGCACGGTTTAGGACACGGTTCCTTATACGATCTCGTGCAGCGTAAATGATAATTAAAAATGCGGAAAGGCAAGGCTCACGGACGAAACGGAATGAGTAACAAGCATTTGCATAAATTTCCATTAGGTTGAAACAGAAGAACAGCTTCTTTTTTTCCCTTAAATATTAATTTTAATTTTTATCCCTTAAATACTAGTTTTCTCGAGGGATGTCACTGATAATGAATGGTCCGCGAGATTCAATTATCAGCTGTGATCAAAGATAGATTCGCGGAGCTGGCAAGTATTGCGGGGTTAAGTGGAGTTAATGGTAATCTCGATATTTCATTTAAACGGCATTAACAATTTTACTACGAATAATGTCGTTCGCTTCTTTAGATTTAATTCTACTCGTTTCGAATAAATTGTGTTTTTTAAGCTTGTGATGCGACGGAAACTGGAGTCAGATTTAGACCAAAGGGAAAGCCGAAATGGGGAATTAAATATCAGTCGAATTAACTTTATACTTTTTCTTTGTTTGCAGCGTCCGAAGAGCTGGGTGGCAGTATGAGTACCACCCTACCGTCCGCGCCCACCGAACTCTCGCAATTCCCGAAGCTTTGCGAGCTGCGTCGAAAGTTCCCCGTTCTATACCGCGTCGAGTTTCAGGTGAGAACAATAAATCCCACCGTATACACTTTCCTTCGCCTTTCGTCTACCCTGGCCTCGATAATAACTTCAACTATTTCTCCGTATAAACAGTGTCTTATATTTGAGAAAGAAGCGCAATCGTGAGATTGCATTCGCAAAAGCGACGTATCGTTGATGCAAATCAATATAACGCGTTTCACGTGATAATAATCGATGCTCAATAGTGAATTCGGTGTAATGTAATTCGGTCGAATCGAATTCAGTGAATGTTGAGAGTTGACTCCGTGCAATTTCGTTGCTCGTTGTATCTCGTTTACGACCGGTAAATATCGCGACGACCCATTTCCCGTCGGTCGGTCGGTCGGTCGGTCGGTCGGATTCAATTTTGGTCAGCATCGAGTCGAGAAACGATATTTCACGGCGCGTGCCCGCGGCTCCGGGTTTCCTTATCATCTCGAGAATTATCGAGATTGCAGGCCAGAAAATTCGATTGGGCTCCACGATCCGATCACCGATAGTTGATGCTCCCGTTAACGATACCCTACGATAGCCGAGGAATCTGTTCTCATTGCAGACAGCTACGAAAGTGGAAACGCATTCTTGTAGACACGCGACCAAGCCGGCCAACAAAGAGAAGAACCAGAACCAGAGGTGTATACCTTGTAAGTGACGACTACTCGTTTCTTCTTTTTTTAGTAATCATTATAAACGAAATACGAAATTCCCTATCGCGTCTCGCCACGCGATTCTCCTTCGATATCACCGCGGCAATTCTCACGGGCACTCGTGTACGTGTGTGCTCGCCTACACACGCACGGCTACGGTTCTAATTATTCGCTGCGACGAAAAATTCCGGTCACGACGACGCTCAGCAGAACGGGTCTAATTAGGAAATGCGGTTACGTTCGCGCCTTTCGTAGCACGCGTGCGACTGGACGTTCGGCTAGAGCTGTGCATGCATGCCCGACAAGTTTCCCGAATACCTATAGCGTCCACGAATTCCGTTATACCCGTGCAATCACGACGGAATTGAACGTTTAAAAATAGAGTTCATTACTAGAGAAACTGTGTCTCATGAATTTTTTAATTCGATCGCTCAACAGACGGGATTTCACGCATTTCTACAAAAATTTGTATAGAAATAACGTTTGCCGTGTATAAAAATATTTAAGAATGATTGCAATGATCACGCGAAGAAAGAAATGTATGCGGAAAATGCATTTCTCGTCCGATACGCTCCATTGATTGCTGCTACTGATGTAAGCGAATTCCGTTTTCGAGTATAGATGACTACAACAGGGTCGTTTTGGATCACATCGAAGGCGAGCCTGACTCCGATTACATTAACGCTTCTTACGTAGATGTAAGTAGAACAAGTTTTTCAACAAGGACAACATTTCTTAAATTCCAAGAGAGAGAGAGAAATAAGAAAAAATCTTTAGCCTTGATCCGGGATAATCCGGAGATCTTAACAATCCTTTCAAAGGAAACTGTCCATTTTGAATGAAGCTATGTTACAACAGGAGGTTTCTTAATCTCCCCTGGGACACTCTGGCTCGTTTACATCTGAAAACTTCTTTTCTTTATTTAAACCCATAACGTTTAATTCTTAACAGCGTTTAAGTAGAAACTCGAGTAAGAATCCCAAAATTTTATAAAAGTGAACCGGTGGTGGAAGTGGTCTTGAACGTAAACGACCCAGTGTATCCATAGAGAGCAATGCTTGAGCGGTTGCATTCTTTTATTATCGAATTACACGGAATTGTCCGATGGGAACGTCCATAATTGCGTTTCCTAATCGGTTTAGTATGCAGATCTAATTTGTGCGATTGGGTGTTCGTTCTACAGAGTATATTGAAACCAAACGCTTACATCGTGACTCAGGGACCGACGGAGAACACCGTGACAGAGTTCTGGCGAATGGTTTGGCAAGAGAAGGCCTGCTGCATCGTAATGTTGACGAAAACGTTCGATTTCATTAAGGTGAGCCGATTGACTCTACGAGACAACCTCGCGGTACCTAATTCCGCGGTAACGCAATCCGTGGTGGAAGTAATATAAATAATAAATAATATATAAATAAAAAGAAGAAGAAATATAAATTACTTAGTTCCGTCGGTTGAAACGAAAGTTACTTAGTTGAGGATAATTCGCGCGAGCTAACCCGGTGAAGGGTTGATATCTATTTGGGACATCGTGGCTTGGCGTAAGGGTGACAGAGGTCGGGCCGACGTAAATCCTTCCGCTGTCTCGACGCTGTTTTATCTCCCGTATCGGTGCCAGGAAATTGTAATTCGTTTCGTAATTCCAATAATTCAAATTAATTTATTTATAGTTTATCTAGCGATTTAATCGAGGCGAAGTTCCGAATGAGATATAACGGGGATATATTTAATGCCGGCCACAAGAACCGAGCAAATAGGAAGTTGTCCGCGGCACAAAGTCATAAATTGATATTGCGTATTTCAAGGGAAATCTGATGGAATTGTTAGTCGCTGCCTTAATATATTATCTGTCTTGCTGTGTACACGAAATATCGTAGAAATTACACGGTTCCGAGTTGCAGTTCATCTGACGGCTGTTCGGAAACGCGGTTTTCCGATTTCGGTTACTCGCTTGTTCGACGAACAAAAGACACCCGTGTCCTCGCGTCGGTGGAAAAAGACACGGTGGAAACTTGGAGGGAGGCTGGCCGGAGTCTAAAGAGGCCGCGCTTTCGCATGCGAAATAGACGATGAACGGGGTAAACGAGTTTCGAAGTTGTTAGCAGCCACTTCGTTTAGCCGCGCCTCTTTGCCTCCGTAACGATGATCCAGATCCGAAGGGCCGACGACGTTCTCCCGGCGCGGCACGCCGTGGAAAATTCGTCCTCGCCTCCGGCAACAGCACCCCTCCTTTGCACGATTCGCAAAACTCTTCTTCCACGTGCAGATAACGATAACGATTCTTAACTCGTGGAACCGCGCGACATTTCTTTCCAATCGTCGGCTTGCAGTTTGTCAAATCAGAATTCGTGTCACGCGAGACATAATTATTATTCTTGCCGTTACGCCTTCTCGCGAACTCGTTTCCACAGATTTTTCTCACGTATCAAAAGTTCGTATCTATGAACGATCTCAGGTGATGTGCGTGCAGTATTGGCCGGCCAGCAAGGACAAGGACGAGGAGTACGGCGGTATCGGTGTTTCCGTACTGAAGGAAGAGGAGCTCGCCAATTTTCACATACGAACGATAAGGCTTTACAAGAAGAACGAGAACGACGTGAGTGCATTTCCACATATCCGATACGTATCGCAGGTGTACCAAAGTGCCGCACCTACACTTCGTGAATCGTCATTCCCGTCCCGTTCCCCCTTTCAACGATTTTCTGTGTCCCGTCGCGAAAATTTTCAATTTGAAATTCTCCCGATACTCGTCGCCGACGATTTGCGTGACACGAATTATGCCTCCGCGGCATAATGGAGTCGGAATAATCCCCCGATAGACACGGTAACCAAGTCTGACGGGCACTCGCTCGCTCGAGCTAGAAACTCGAACTCGAGAAGTTTTCCCGAATTTCGTGTAAGACGTCGGCCGAGGGAAAGGAGACAGAAGTTGGCAAAAAGTTCGGATTAACTCATTGCCTATCGTGCATAATGCAACTGATCTAAACTTGGAGACGATCGTCTGCGCCATCCTCCCGCATATTAATGACAATTTTATATTGCGACACCCATTGCGGAACGGAGAGCGAAGCGGGCGAAAGTAGAAAAAGAGACAGCGTCGTTTCGATTTCAGGAGATCACGGAAGAGAGAACGCTGTTACAGTTCCACTACACGGAATGGCACTCGCACACGTGTCCGTTTGGCAACGCGGTTTTAGAATTTCGTCGACGCGTAAGGGCAGTGGTCGGGTCGACCATAAAAAAGGATTCCGGTCCTATGGTAGTGCACTGCAAGTAAGTTCGTCACGCCGAGTAAAATGTATTAGAATTAGGACAATTAGTCCGAACACGCTGTTACGCTCGGATTTCGATAAATTGTAAAACAATTTAACCAATTCAATTGTCCGCCACAAAGTTCGATTAAGATTCGAAGCGGTTCGGTATTTTATTTAATTGTAAAATGATACGACGCCATTGACGTTTCCGTTTGAAACAAAGCGACGGCGGAGGGAGATCCGGGGTGTATCTGGCTATAGACGCGAACATGGAACTGGCCGAAGAGGAAGACGCTTTCAACGTGTTCGGCTACTTGAAAAAGTTACGGCAAAGTAGAAGAGGACTTATCGAGAACTTGGTAAATCCATGAAACACTTATTCGTTCGATGAAATCTCGGTTGATATTGAATCGTGGGACAATTGAACGATCACGATTTCGATCAGCGTCCGAGCGCAAGGCTACACAGATTTTTTTGTCGTTCGTGCAGGAACAGTACAAATTCGTGTACGACACGCTGGAGGAGTTCGTCGTGTGCGGCGCGTCGTGGTTCCCAGTGTCGGAACTGTCGCAGCGTCTCAAGCAGAAGAGCGTGAAAGATCCGCTAACTAAGATGAACGAATATCAACGGGAGTATCAGCAGATTTACAAGCAGACGCCGCGTTTCACTATCGGCGACTGCGCCGGAGGTCACAGGGCCGATAACAGGGAGAAGAACAGGGACGTTTTAGTAGTACCGCGTAAGTTTTCTCCCGCATGGGAAAACCACAGATTTAATACATTTCCATGTTCGGTCGCGCGCGCGTATATGTTACATTCGGTGACGCGTGTAACGAGTATAAATAATGGCTGTGTTATACACGTCTCGTGGATCGACCACGTTTTTATTTATGGAACATGATTTTTCACTCTAGCCGACAACTTCCGGCCGTACCTCACCAGCTTCCAGGGTAACAGTTATACTGATTATATAAACGCTGTCTTTGTCGACGTAAGTATATTGCGTTCTTTCATCTTTAAAATGAGCGACTCGTTTGTCATTTTCATCGTTCAACTTTTCTATTAAAAAAAAAATCGAGGCAACGGAAAGAGAATCTTTTCTCTCTTCCTTTATTACGTGTTTCACATTTCGCACAAATTACGAGCTCCCGGCGTGTAAACGACGTGCGTTCCTAAACGAGCGTCTCCGACAGGGTTACACCAAGCCGAGGGAATACATCGTGACGGAGTGGCCGCTTCGACACACTTGCGGCGAATTCTGGTCCCTGGTTTACGATTACGAGTGCTCCGCGGTGGTGGTGCTTTGCGTGCCGCCACCGGGATCCACCAATTTCCCGAGTTTCTGGCCCGAGGGGAAGCACTCGAAGAAATACGGACCCGTGTTTACGATCGATCACATCAGCCACAATCACTACACGAACATCAAAACTTGGGTGAGAATCGTTCGTTCGTTCGTCGATCTTTCGAGACAACGTTCGACAGAACGTCCCGCCCAACGATCGATTATAATGCACAACGATCGATACAACGTATACTACTGATACTCCATGTAACGGAAACGGTGTTTGTTGGTAATTTTGCAGATTTTCAGGATAAACAAGAAGATCGTGTCGCTAACTGAGTTAATGGCCGGCGTGAAGGCGCCGCCGAAGACGGTGCAGCTATTTCAGCTGACCTGCTGGCCGATGGGCCACAAAGTTCCGACGTCGACGAACAGCCTGGTCGAGTTGATGAACATGGTCGAGAGGTGGAGGCAACGGACCGATTATGGGCCGGTGGCTGTGGTCTCGCCCGACGGCAGGAGTCGTTGCGGCGTTTATTGCGCCGCAAACGCGTGCATAGAGCAGGTGATACAACACGGGGAAGTGGACATTTTCCAGGCGGTTAAAACCGTGCGGAGACACAGGCCCCAGCTCGTAGAGAATATGGTAAGTGTCCGTAAACACAGAACAAACTCGTTTGTCCGAACCGTTTCGAAATACTTTGCACCACATTTTCCGTTTCGTTGGCGAAACGAAACGGTCCCGATATAAAACGAGGTGCATTAAGATGGGTCTCTGTGGGCAGGGATTGTGTGCAATCGGATCTCGTACGAGTAGTATAATATCGTTGTTTAGCCAGCCGTAATTCTACCAGATGATCTGATGATTGGCGCGTGAGATCAACGTCGCGCGTCGAAGTAACTTTTGAACGATGATAGTTTTTAACCGCCCGTTTATGGAATAGACAAACGAACGAACGAATGAAAACCTGTACACGCCTGTTTCAGACGGAATACAAGTACTGTTACGATCTGGTGTTGCACTACGTGCTTCACTATCTGAACAAGGATATGAACGAGAAGAAGTGAGAAAACGAGTTGAGGGACGAGCTGTGGTTCATCGAGTTCGGCAGGGGCGCCGCGCTGCCGTTGACCCCGGAGGAGGCTCCAGCAGACGGCGAGCCGGTGGTACCCTGCGCCCAGGGCCGCGTGATAGTCGAGACCGCGAGACCCGCGCTGCCGTACTTCGCCAGGTGCACGAAATATCGTCACCGGGTGACGGCCGTGACCACGCCGGACGAGGCTGCCGCCAGTACCTCCGGAACGTCGTCGAACGCCACGCAGACGGACCAGCAATCGACCGGTTCTGGCGGCAACAAAGATGCCATCGGCAAGAACCCGTTACTTCCGGCTCGCAGCACCGCGGCGGCCAGACCGGAGGACCTCGGCGTCACGCCTTGGTACTTGGAGGACTATCCGATGATCGATTCCTCTCCGGGGGCCGCGGCCGATCGGAGCTCGTATCCCTCGTGCTCGGAAACGAAGCCGGAGGCGACGTCGTCCCCGAGGAACAGCCCCGTCGAGCAGATACCGTCGCGGGTCGCGCCATCGGTCGTGCCTAGGAAAGCGTGCATGGACCTGAACGAAGCGATCGCTCTGCTGGACGAGACTTGTCCGAATCAGGAGCCGTTCCTTACGCCGCGAACACCGAGGACACCGTTAACGCCGCATCCGAGGAACAAGCGAGCAAGATCGAAGAGCAGCGACAATTCGTCCAACTACAGCAACGAACGACTCAGCGACAGATCGTTCGAGAAGGAGATTAAGGAGAAAAAACGTCCGTTCCTGAAGAAGATCGGCGTGTCGAAGACGGAGGATAAACCGTTCCTGGCGAAACTGGCGCCGAGGATCATCGGTAAACCTTACTTGGAGAAGATCGGGCCTAGCAAGGCGGTGGAGAAACCTTTCTTAGAGAAGATCGGCTCGTCGAAGACGTTGGACAAATTTTTCTTCGATAGTTTGCGTTACGAGAAGAGGCGCGATGAGAATACGAAGCCTGCGATGGGGGGACAGTCGTTCGACGTTCAGAGGAGAAAGTCTAGCAAGGGTCCTCCTTTGTTGAAGATGTACTCGTTCGAAACGGAAGATCTGGAATCGACGGTTCAACCGAAGGAAATCTCGAGAGCACCTCTCCGCGGTGCTTCGTTGGACGACGTCTTAGATTCCGGTCCGAGCTCCTTGCCACTGGAAACGACGACGGAGGGGACTACGACCGAGGAGTCGCCGGAATCTAAGCCGGACAACGATCATCGGAAAGAGCGAGTAGTTAGAAACGGCGCCGAATTGTTAAAGTGTCGCGTTACGACCAGCGAGGAGATCATCTTCTCCAACAGCAGCTTCGGGTCCGACAAAGAGCCCAATAGCTGGGGCAACTCGCCGAGAGGAAGGTGGCAATTGAAGAGGGACGTCTCGACCCCGCGAACGCACGCGCGTCGTAGAGCCGTCCAGAATAAATCTCGAGACAGCGTTCCCAACTCACCGACGAAACGTCCGATCTCGTCCGGTCGAGAAGATTACCAAGCCGATTCCTCGGAGAAGAATCTTTACTCGCCGTTAAAGACCAGGCGGCAGACTTACGAAGACATCGCGACGGGTAGGAACGAAGATCAGGACGAGGAACCGAGCAAACAACCTCAGTTCGAGAGGCGAGGCATTTCCTCTGACAATCTTTTGCCTCGCACCGCGTCGACTGTTGACTACCACCAGACGGGAGCTCGAACGAACCAAGAGGCCTCGTCGGAAGATTCTCTGGCGCACAGAACGAATCAGGAGTACACCAAAGAAACGTTCAAACAGCTCCAGGACAAGTTTAGGTGTCGCGAGATACCGACCGAAACATACGCGGACTTTAAAAGAAGGACGAGGGGAAACCGTGAGAAGAGCATAATTGGCAGGCAGCAGGAATGGAAAGCGAGCGACAAAGATCAAGCCAAGTCGCAAACGGAAGAAACGTCGAAGAACGATTCTGCTCCTCCTGAGAGCAAGGAACCGGTCCGTGTTCGTTCCGTGTTGAAGAAGCAGCAAGGCATCGAACATCTCAGCGATCAAGAATCGGATACCAATTCGTCTGTGAGGCGACACAAGCGGAGGATTTTTCACGAACTGTCGCAGGAGACCACGGACTTGTTGACGGAGCTGAGGAAAGTGAAGAGTTTGTTGAAAACTCCGTCGTGGGAGAAGGATTTCGAGCTGGACAAGAAGCCGGTCCGACAGGCTAAACGTATTCTCTTGACCGACAAGGAATTCTGTTTGTCCGTCGAACGGGAGAACAGCATTCGCCGTCCATCGAGAGTGATCGATTCGTTTGACAATGCGAACAAGTCGGACGAGAGAGCGGAAGAGTCCGAGAGCAAAGTTCCTGGACCGGCTCTGTTCGAGAAAAAGTGTCTGTCGTTGGACTACGCGGATGACGAGAAACCGGCGAAACCAGAAGTCAGGGCAATATCCTTGGCCTCGACCAGGAATTTGCCTTCGGGGACCGAGGAACAGTTGACGTGCGACGCGAAGAGTTACTCCTCGGACGTATTCAATACTCCGTCGGACGAAACGAACGAGACGAAAGAGTGCGGAGACGACTCGGAGAAAGACGTTCCGGAAACTTTAAATCAGAATCACTGCACCGAGATCGATATTGCTATTCCCATCGATCAGAAAGCGAGTCCCAAGGGCATTCAGATCCAGGGTAGGACTAGCGATCTCTACGAGATCATATCCCCCAGGTCAACTCCTTTCCGAGTGCGGAAGAAGAGGCTCGGCAAGATCTCCGTCGAGGAGTCGATCAAGCCAGAGAGTTTCACCCTAGGTTCTAAGGTCGACTGCCGACCTACCGTTATCCAGAAACGGACCAAGTGCTTCCCTTTATAACGCACGCCGACCTGCCGCTGGGCGAAGCCCTCTCGGTGACGACGTTCCGGGTTGCGTTGCGGCTTCGTTCTGAACGAAACGAGGGCACCAAGAACAATGAAAATGGGAAGTTTGGACGTTCCGTCGTCTCGAGCTTCCTACACACTCGAATCAATTCTTTTTATTATACGCTGAACGTGTTTCAACTAATTTACTCGTATTTCGATCCGTTTCATTCGTAATCACTTGATAGGATGTTTATTAGATGCCGTTGAAATATGAAAACACGAGTGTGTGGTCGTAAAAAGGTGGAGTTTACGCGGCCTGGTTTTATTGCCACACCCTTCTCTTCGCCCTTGATTTCTATCAGAGTGTAACTGGCAATCAGCAATTCGCAGTTGCTCTCGGGGATAATTGTGCAATTTTCTTGATTAAACAATTCTATAATTAAAAAGTCGACTCTAAGGGACGTTTTTGTCCAAAGTACAGCGAATTTATTTCATTTCCATTGTATTCTAAACTCGGAACGGCTCTCTCTTTCTCTCTCTCTCTCTCTCTTTCTCTTAAAGTTACTTTAAGCTTGAAAGTCTCGTCGATGCACGCAAACGCAGATTATATTCTAAAACGTATCCCGACCACAATTCTTACCCGGCGCGATGTTTCGCGATGAGGAAACGGGCTCGAAGAAGCTTGACAGCTCGTGGCGCACCTTCCCCCCCACGGAGAGTATCCACGGTCGTGTGTACAGGTGAACCATAGCGATGCAGGGTACGCATTTTCAATTCTTCGCGTACCTCAAATATGTCTTTGTACGAATTGCAATTTTCAATCACATCATTTTATGTGCAACTTTACGATGAATAATACGCGTAAAGAGGAGCACAATTTTGTTTCGGTGTTACTATTTTGTCGTCCTATACTCCTAATCTCCGGAACAGATTGAGATACCAGGATGATTCTCGAAAACGATCTTTCTCGTCTTCGCTTGCTCCGTCAAGTTTCCAATCAAAGTTAGAGATTGCAGAGAAATGCACGCGTGCCCCTCGCTACAAAGATTCCCGGTACCCACGACTCCTTAATGAACGACAACGACGACACGGTGTCGCGCGCGTACACATCTGCCTGTCGAGCAGTGCCTTGTTCGTGGATATATTTATTTAAACAAAAAGAGAAAACTCCCCCCTCCCCCCCACACCCCAAAAAAAACGAACGCGAATAGTCCTACCGCGCGGTGCATAAATAAAAGTAAATATATATTCCGACTACCGGGCCGGATATTCTGAATGGGTCCACAGAGTTGCGCTCTCGGTAAACGATGAATCGCGGATGCCTCCTCGTTGAACAACGGATCGACGTGAACGGGAAGCATAAAAGAAGAATTAAGGCACGTTTTTACTGCCGTTAATTTTCCATCCATCCCAAGATCCAGATCTAATTTAAACGCGCGCGAGAGAGTGCAACTCCCACGCTCGCCAAGCCTATTCTCCGCTCGGCGAAGCGCGTGACGTTTTAACGGCACACAGAAAACCATGGAAACATTATTATTACTATTGTACGTGTAAACAGATTGTTATTACTATCATTACTACTACTACTACTACTACTATTATTATTATTATTATATGTATGGTATCGAGCGATGCAAGAACGGATCGTTCCTGATAATTTTCTAGGAGTAGATAGAATTGACAGTGGCACTTTTGAAATAACGGAAAGTAATGAATAAATTTACTGTAGATGTATAAATATAGAAGGGTAAAGTGGTAAATACATGCTGTCGTTATTCCGATGGAATATTTGGACGTATTCTATTATATATGTATATATATATGATTATTAGATAGTAAAGCAAGTTGGTGAATATAATATAATTATATATTTATATATATATATATATAATTGGATGACAAGTATACAAGCGTACCAAAGTAAATAGGTATGTACACTTGTACGGTATTGAACGAAATGTGCCAAAGATACGATTTATTGTATGTTACGGATTTACTTTTATATATACATACATACACATACGATTACATTCAGAATCGGTAAAGTGCAATCAAAGAAAAAAAAAATAAAAAAAGAAACACACATGGTGAGCCAGGGTTCGTAAGGCATAAATCGTCCAGACTCGTTCTTAATTTAAAAGAGACGAGAGCAACGGCATCCTAACAGCCATCCGTCCATCTATTCGGCTGTCCATGTTCGTCATCTTTGTGCGTATCGTTAACGAACATGCATCTCTTTATTTAGTCCAGAAGTTAAACGAAGGGGTAAAAGTCGTAAAAGGAGTAAGAGATTCTTCGGAAGGTACAACAGCTGTTCTGTTCGCTTAGATTGTGCTGCTATCAGTTTGAGCAAGGGATATGAGCTAGGAGGCGGTTTCTTTGATTAGCACCGTTACGTCGTTTACCCTGATCGGATGTACGTAACGTAATTACGAAAATTAGTTTCATTGAATGAATTTTTGCTTGTAAGATACACACATAGATGCATCGAGAACTATTATACGATAATGAGAGAATACTTACGAATCGCGAGATTCGCTGAGAAAGTCCTTTGTATTTTCTAGTCGAGTTTGTGTGTGAAACATTTTATTTCTCGCAGGCGAGATTTTAATGGCCAAGAACGAACCCATCGAAACACGTCCACGATTCGTTACGGTCGTCGTATTCGAAACTTTTTATTCGAAAGAATTCATCAATCGTAATTACGTCAGATCGTTTCATACGAATTTCTTCTAACGAACATTGCAACTACTTTATAAAAAATATGTCACGCGATCAATCACGGACGTGACTGAATTTTATCTCGTTAAGATTGAACGGCTGATGAATAAAAATGAGACGATCTAACGTAGAAAGGCGAGAATTAGCTAATACGATCTCTTCATTTCTCGAGAGATACAATCTCGCGTCCATGCAAATTTTAACGATTTTACTACACCGGATTGTCCGGGAATTGTTTTACTTGTTTCAGAACGAAAACTATTTATTTGTTGTACTTGATGAATTTTTCTATCATTTCTAGCCGCTATTTTAATACTTTAAGGTTGTAGAATCGAACGATTATATGAAAATCGACGAAATTTTAATGTCGAATGATTGGATAGTTGTTGTTACATAACATATATAGGTATATATATATGTATATATATACACATACGTATATGTATTGTAGAAAAAAGTTGAAGAGAGTACGAGTGACGCGGACAATTTGAGCAATCGACAATATGCTGTGAACCACCTAACGTTTATTTGCAAACAATTGTTGAGAGGAGAGTGGTTATGGATTTTTTAAATGTTACGAGTATTATATAGATATTGAATGTTAAAAGAAAATCTAACAATATTCCAAGGGACGAGAATTCCTTTCGAGATGTACAGTACCTTTTTAACATCGAGTGTTTAAATCGAATTCACACATTTTTTCAAAATGGTCTTTCGAACTGTTCGATCCAGACGCATTTGTCTAATTGTTTATAACAAAATATATTACACGACTGTTTGCGCAATTATTCAGAAATTTCTATATACATTTCAGAGAGTATTCCCACAATTCCTCGCGCCCCGCCCGAGAATAAACTTCGAATCTCCAATTCATTTATCGAGCTGAACTAAAGTGTAGAGCGAATGAGCGACGTTTTGTAAATTGTGTGATAAGTGATTTAAATAGAAAAGAAGAACACGATGTGGTACATTTTGTGTAACATTGGTACGTTGTTGTAAATAATAAATAGATCGTATGTTGTATTCGCGCCTATTTCTCCACCCGCATTATTCCTGTTTAGTTTCTTTCAGATTCTGCATCGAAATAAGATGATATTGTTCAGAAGAAATCGGATTCCTCTTAATATTTTTCTTAATTCATCTTAACATTCATTAGCACGTACAGATTTTTGTTCAATGGGGATTGTCCACTGCCCAGGTCTCGAACGTAGTCACCTCCACGCGGCGAGACCTGGGTTGGTAGTAATTCTGATTAATAAATGAATGAAAATAAAATTCGGCATATTTATTTCGCTATCCTTGAATAAATATAATCCAAAGCAAAGCGATCATGCATTACTTTGTTCGGTAAAACTAACGAAGCGGAAAGCGAAAACATAACATTGTCTATATGAACATCTATTGAAATCAATTTCCCCTGTGTCTAATTTATTCTCTGTCTCTAATTTATTGTAAATATATTGAATAATTCTGATTAATATATTAATAGAAATGAATATTGGCATTTCTATTTCGTGTTCCTTGACCAAATGACTAATCTCTGTTTTCGAAGTGCAGTATCGTTGGCTACTATCGACTAAATCGATAGTTTTTAATCGATGGTGTCCATTACTAGTTGGTAACGTTCGCAAAGTCTTTGAAAACGGTACCAAACGAAGAACTACGATCTAGTTTAAGATTATCTGTATCTCATATTGTAAAGTATGGTCTTTCAATACGTGCTAATAAACGTTAAGATGAATTAAGAAAAATACTGTTGGGATAAAAGTCGTTTAAATTCTAATTAATAAATGAACAGAAACGATGAGATAGTATCCAAACTATTTTCTCTCTCGCGCAAGCCCGTGATTGGTTGACGCGTCTGCGTTTCTGCTGTTAGAGAGAGTACCGAAACTACTGCTCTCTCTCTCACACCGTCGTCTACACTTTTTCACACGGCATGTTTCTGCATGTTTCCTCCATGTTGTGGAGGAGACATGAGAGACTGGCGGTCTAATCATTCGTTCCGTCGTTTCCCAAAGAGTAAACCGAATTCACCGTGGTAAAGGACGAAGAGGAGATGAGATGTGGGACAGCCAATGGGCAGAGCGCACTGTAGCTAAGGGAACCATATTTATCTTATTACCATACTCCTACCTTCACGGTTAGAGAGACATGAACGAGCAGTTGGCAGTCTTTCATCAGTTGTCACAGTAGTGACATCTTTCACTGACTGCATCGCCGATTCTACAGCACAATAGTAGATGGTTGTTTCTATTTCTTTTCAATTGGCACACGTTGTATCCGGCATAAGTAGAGAAATTTTGGCCAGCGGACAATTGTTGCGGCAAACGAAAAACCAGACGGGACGGGACAAGGTATATCTAATAATATTTAAACGGCGCACTCTCCGTGTTCGTTCGCTGTGTTAACGATCGCCGCGTTAATCGCACCACGCTATATAATCGTCAAATTAATCGATCGATACGGCACATGGCGGATACGTGTGGTTAACAATGTCCCAGTGAACAGATCCTTCGTTTACCGCTGCTCACATTCTCAGCTTATCGGTTCGTAAATGAACTCTCTTTGTACGCACATTTCTTTTGTTCGTAGAATGCGCGTTTCACCACGCTCATAACCACGTTACGCGTATACGAAACTTCATCCTCTAATTGTTGCAAACATCTGTCGTCTTGGGACAGCTTTTCGTGTCAAATCTTTTATTCTCATCGGTAATTGGTGTACTAACGCGACTAACGATCGCATCGATTGTTTCACGCGCATTTGCATAGCACGGTTCCGCATAAATATTGGCACGATTGATGCTGAATTTGTAAATTGCAGGCGCAAAACATCTGCCAGAATGTCAACTTTCCTTGGGCTTATTAAGGAGATACCTGGCATCTCGGTGGATCGCTTTGACGGAGACAATTTAACATCTTCTGTATTTTTTCTCAGTCATTGCCATACCGACCACATGCAAGGTTTAACAGACGCGTTTTTCGAGTACATTCAGAGTTCCGACAAATATATTTACTGCAGTCCTGTGACGAAAGCGTTGTTAGAAAATAAATTTCGACACAAGAGTCATTGTATAAAAGAGATCGACGTTAACAGACCTACTGTCATAGAATACAGAACGCGAAACGACGATGCAATCGTTGTTTCTGTGACCGCGGTCTCGGCAGGACATTGCCCCGGTTCTGTAATGTTTCTTTTCGAAAGAGATACCGTTTCAGTATTGTACACCGGTGACTTTCGTATCAATCCGAAGGATCTGTCCAAGTTAAAAGCGTTACACTACTCCGGTCAATCGAAATTGATACCGCGAACGTTTACCAAAATCTATTTGGACACCACGTTTCTAAGCAACGATTACGTTAGCTTCCCCACGCGGCAGGAGAGCATAGTTAAGATATGCCAAGTCAGCAAAGATTGGCTAGGTAAAGACCCAAGGAACGTCGTTATTCTGGAGTGTTCTGCTCTGTATGGCTCTGAGTTTCTCTATATAGAATTGTCCAACATGTTAAATATGAAAATCCACGTGAGAGACTGCGTATATGAAATTTATTGCCGCATCGCACAACTCTCCTGTCATGTCACGAACGAGCCGTGTAGTACTAGGATTCACGCTTGTAAAAGAAAGATATCTTCGCCGGGTTTGCATTGCGGAGTAGACGCGAGCAACGAGAATATCATGACCATTATTCCGTCGATATTGAAATGGAGGAATAAGGATACTAGCGTGGTAGGGGAATGGGACGATGTTAAACCGAGAACTTTCAACGTGTGTTATTCTACTCATTCGTCCCTCGACGAACTCAAGGCGTTCGTTCAGTATTTCCATGCGACCGAGATATATCCGTGCGTAGTTAAAACAGAGGAGGCAAGCGTAACGTACGATTTGTTGGAAAAAATAAGAGATCAATCAGATGAACAAGTAACGGTTAATCCAACGTATAGATTAAGTCTTAGCAGACGCAAAGTATCGAGGAGGGTTCCGTTCAAATCCGAGTATTTTAGCAGTGACGACGAAAGTTCATGACGTTAATTCTTATCTAATAAGTTGTTGACTATTAATATAGAGAAGTAAATATATATATATTGTTATATAATTATTTTTTTTACGCAGAGTTTAAGTATTGTAATCGACGTTCTTTAATAAATCTAATTGATTTTAATTTGTTAATTTTATTTTCCGTGTTTCGAGTTATTTAATTTCTAGTAGTTAGGAATAACTCGAATTTCGTGTTACAGAAATATATCTTTGTTGTTGAAAATAAATCGTCTAAACAATGGAAAAGTCGGCATTAGCACAAGAGAAGGTATGGTTTGAGAAGCCATCCTATGACAAAGCAGAACGACTATATTTCGAAAGAATGGCTAAGGTAAGTATCTCTATCAATGAATTTCGACACGATTGCCAACAGGGAATGGGATACAAATGTTTCTAAACATACGATCTTTGAGTTTGCACAATTGTCGTATCGAGACAGATCGTAAAAAAGAAATTCTACGGGCCGTATGTTTATGAACACGATCGAAACTTTCTACTAACAGCTGCAACTTCCACAGCTAAGCCAGTTTGCCTTTTTGTTTGTGCCTTGTCTTTTTTCTTGTACTAACAGAGAACTGACATTTCTAACACACACTTCAGGGAATATCTGGTGATAGGATGAATTTTACGTGCTTGTCATTTCGTAACAGTTTGAGGGAGGGATTTATTTTTCTGCTCCTCGAAACCCTTACGATCATTTCCCCACTTACAATTGTGTGCTCACATAAACGAGTCACTTCCTGACAACATCTTTCCTCATTATTTTCTCTCAATTTTGTACGTCCAACGTGTGAAATGCATGAATCTACTACCAAGGGTTTCACTTTCTGCACTTCTGTGCTCCGTAGTAACGAAGCATGTAACAACATCCCCCGTTTAGTACTTATTCCATTTCGCGCGCGTTTTCAACGCGCAATTTCTTACTCGCATAGCTTAATGTTTCAAGGTGGTGTTGTCTCATAAGATTATGGAGAGCTGCTCGCTCAAGTCCGAGGTGTTTTCAACCAACAACTGCCAAGATAATCTTCATAGTAATACTTTGAACAAGACTAAATCTGAGAAATCTAAAGACAATAAGCTGCTGATATCTGAGAATATTCCGAGCGACGCGAAAAATAATAAATGCCAAACGAAATTGTCAAAGTCGAATAAAGACGAGCACGAGAAGAAAGACGCCGTCGTCGTCGGGGAGAAGCAAAAGTCTGATAATGCGAAAAATTGTCAGAAAGAGAAAAAGAAGGAGACTAGTCCTACGAACGATGCGAACGAAAAGTATAGCACTAAAGAGGTAAAAGAGAAAAAGAACAAAGCAGATACGAGACATAGAAATAGAAAAGGGACGAATGATACTAAGGAAGTAAAAGAGAATGCTACTCCGTTAATAAGGAATAAGCAACAGTTACCTGCCCAGGTACACACTGTCACGCATCCGTTATTTCATGTTTTTTGTGAACATTTGTAGAAACTTTTCGTTTCGATCTTCTTTATTACCCAGATTAGCACACCGCTTATGATTCACGTTACGAATATCTTATTTTACAAGCCTCAGATTTATAATACTATTTAGTTATTGAGCGAGCACCAACGAGAATATCGTACCACCATCTATTCATTTAACACGATTTGCTTTAGCACGCTTTGCTGTGTCAAATAAAATAACGAACGAAATGCATGTTTGCTTCTGACTACACAACTCGGCTTCGATATCGAGCTTAACTCCTTGTTTCGTAGCGAACTGCATTTCAAGTGTCTGCTTCCACTTTGAACCGTATCGTGTTTCGCTTGACAATTTTTTTAAATAAGCCAGAGTGGATGTTTAATTATTTGTAACGATCACTATCTACTGTGAGTTGATCTGTAACATTGCTGGATGCAGGGAAATGAACAAACCGTTGGTGGACAAACCGCTTCTGGTGGAAGCTTAGCCAATGAGGTTGCCAAGGCTCGTCAGCATATTAAACAGGCTTTACAGTGGGTGAGTACTGCACTCTTTGCACGTATCACCAATTTACGCTTACTAATACAACGTATAATCCCAATGCTGATCAATTGATCGACATCGACACGATCGAATCGAATGAACATCGATTGTACTTGATCCTTGAGCGATTTTCGGCTTTGCTTTACAGATGGACGACACCGCAGACGCCGCTGCTGGTCACGAAACCAAGGAGGATAAAAATGCTTGTAGTGAGTATATAGATACTATTGGTTATCCAATCTCGAGTCGAGTTCACCACGCTCCAAATTTCCATCCACAGTTTTACAAGAGCTGAAGAGCGTTATTGAAAAATTGGAGGCGCGCGTGAAAGATATCGAGGACAAGATCGCGCCTCTTAGGGCCACGTTGGCGATTTGTCCTCCCAAGTTAGAACCAGCTACGCCACCAGCGCAAGCAAAAGCTGATGACGAAGATGTTGATCTGTTTGGTTCAGAATCAGAGGCAAGTGGCCAGAAATAATGAAAGACACTAAAGAAGTCCCCTTCCATTTACGTAACTATCGGAATATCATCTCTGCACGATACTTATACATTTAGTACACTTGACACGTGTCATCGAGTGCAAGAGCGATCGAATTAATACATTCTCGGAGTATATATATAGTACACCAGATATTCCCGGAATACATTCAGACGTAACTTCCTAGCCGACACACAATACAATTATTCAATTTGAATGTTGTCCGCGTACAATCTGTAGTGTAAATTGTTTAACTACTTGACTTATTAGGGCGAAGATGCAGACGCAGCTAAACTTAGAGAAGAAAGATTGGCTGCATATGCCGCGAAAAAAGCTAAGAGTGAGTTGTCGGAATAAATCGATTTCGGTTTCCCTCTGTAGTCGTAAAGTCCTGTCGTTTCGTAATCGTTTACAGAGCCCGCTTTAATTGCAAAATCAAACATCATACTGGACGTGAAACCGTGGGACGATGAAACGGACATGAAAGCTATGGAGGACGAAGTTCGGAAGATCGAGACAGACGGCCTTTTATGGGGAGCGTGTAAGTTAATTATGTTCACACGATCGCTATAGAATTTCGACGATGAACGTCTAATTGTTTTACAGCGAAGCTCGTCCCTCTCGCCTTCGGAATTCACAAACTACAAATCTCGTGCGTGGTAGAAGACGATAAAGTTTCTGTGGACTGGCTTACAGAAACGATTCAGGATATCGAGGATTATGTACAAAGCGTAGATATTGCAGCTTTTAATAAAGTCTAAGACGTTAATGAAGCTTTTCGAGTAGAAAAATATCTGACAGTTCTTATCGAGATCAGGCATTGTGTGCCACCGTTTCATTCCACTAGCAATATCTGTACGAGGTAAATACATTAAACACGTGTCCTATTCCTGAAACGGGATTATTTTCAAGATCGAAAAATTTCCTAATCGTATTTAATATTAAATGTGTCAATTCTAAAACTACTTGTGGAGCAAATTTTTAAACCATCGTCGTACCGTCAACATATTCACTATAAAAGATGTAAAACAATAAATGTCTTGAACGTAACGCGTATAAAATTGTAGCTGACAGACTTGATTTAACGATATCGTGGATATGTGATGATGCCAATTACTAGCAACCGTCTTCAATTGTTTGTTTCAGTACATTGTTATTACAAATAAAAACGTAAATTTTATCTCGTATTCTTCAAGTATTTCCCGTGCCCTCCCACATTCCCTTTTCTTTTAGTATAATTTGAGGCCAGGCAAATCATTTCTCCCCACCGCAGGGTTCTCATAATTTATCCCTCGGCTGGAAAATGGGGGCGACGCGACCATGGTGGAGACTGGTACTTGATGGGGGTATGCTAGGCATGGTCAGCGAAGGCGCATGAGGAGAATAGTAGTTGGGATCGAAATACGAGCGAAAAAGAGGGGAAGCGAACCGTGCGGGATAAATTATGAGATCCCTGTTCCACACTATTCGTAAATGTATATAGATACGCGCGTTACATAGCGTCAAGCATCCCCACCATAGCCTTCCGAGAGCCATTTTACTTAGTTGTCCGACTGAATTGATCAGAGAAAAGTCGGAGTCGTCACGAAATAAACTAACCCATAGCGGTTTGTATCAAAAAAAGTTCGGCACTAGTTTACGGATCGTTCGCCAGTATGTGTCTAAACACGTAGTCAAATTACGGGATCAACCGAGTCAAAAGTCCTGTTTTAGGCAAATAAGCCTCAGTGTTACACGCTTCAAGCAAAAGTACATACTGCAAATTTTGACCTTTGTACATCAAACAGAAAATTAATCGGTTCCAAGATGACGATGGCTATGTTACAACGGAGGGCCAATGTAAGTATACTATTCTTTACAGAATTTATAAAAAAAACGCATTACTAAGGCCACGTACACGTTATGTGTATAGGTTATTTATACGTTGCTGTTGTTGATAAACCACTGTTCTTTTTCTAGGTAAGGCTGCCCCCGGAAGTGAATAGGGTGTTGTATATAAGGAATTTACCCTACAAGATAACCGCCGAAGAAATGTACGATATTTTCGGCAAATACGGAGCTATTAGGCAGATCCGAGTGTAAGTATGAACAATGGATCGTCGCACATTTTATACACAGGATACGATTCAATAAGAATTGTCATATACAATGACTGATTTTATAAAAACGTGACATGTACCATTTTAGTACACGATAGAAGTCATTATTATATTCTGGGAAATTTCTTTTGCACGTGAAGCGATTTCTGCATATTCGTACACTGTTCGAAATGCAGAACGCGCCTAAGCGCGTCGAGACGATATTTCTTATTGACTTGCCCTATAATTTGTCTAGTGCATGGCAGGAAATGTAAAAGGTTTATTCAATTTGATTCTAGGGGCAATACTGCCGAAACAAGAGGGACAGCATTCGTAGTTTACGAAGACATATTCGACGCGAAGAATGCTTGCGATCATTTAAGCGGTTTCAACGTCTGCAACAGATATTTGGTCGTCTTGTACTATCAGAGCAACAAAGCGTTCAAACGAGTCGACGTGGACAAGAAGATGGAAGAAATAGACAAGTTGAAAACGAAATATAATTTAAACGATGAGAAGAAATGATACGATTGTAAGTTAAGCTGACCACTGTAAATTATAATTTTGTAAATTTTTTAATAAAATAATTGTGTTTGTTTTCCTGCAAACGATTCATCATTTTCCTGTAACACGATAGTATCGAATTTTTCTGCGATCGATTCCCGTTTTCCTGGTAAAGATATAAAACCAGAGGAAAAAATGTCGCCGCGTTAAAACGTAATTAATACAACTTTCACAATCGGTAACGGAGTGGCATTCCACCACTGTACCTTGGATGGTAGCTAGAGCTCTAATTAAAAATATATCGGAATGCCGTTCATATTAAACGACTCTCGTGGGAATCGTGGATAATCAAACGATTTCCTCAACGGGGGAGAAGCGAATTCCATGCTAAGATTTTCAAATCCGCATCGTCACCTCCTCGATTTTTACGAACTCGAGCCAAGATGTACCTGCGATCATCTTCGGGCGCGGTACGCGCGTGTCGCGTGTAATTTAATCGGTCGACTCATCTGATCGACACTGGCGTTTTGTAACGCGATTCGGGACACTAGATACTGCGCGGATGCTGGAACACGCGGTGCACCGCAACGTACACAAGGACGTACGCGTGCGCATATACGTGCATATACGTACGTACGACCTCGCCGGCAGCCAGGCAAGACATTCGATTTCAGTCGAAAGGGAAAACCCGCTTAGCCCGTCGAGTTATTCTCGCGGCGCACAGAGTTTCACGCGTGTGCCTTCTTCTTTCGATCATTCTCCTCATCGGTATCCTAGTTAATCGCGCGTTATATTCACGGGGCTCATGTCGTTCGATTGTTGTGGCAACGGCGAGGTCGCCGGCGAGACGTTCGCGAACGGCCTTGAGGACGTGTCACGTACCTTGCGAGCGACATACGACAGTCTCGGTCTCCAAGGTATCGAAACCATCGAAAGTCTCATACGCGAGTGGTACGCGTTGTCCGCTGTCTTCGTCGTTGCCTTCCTATTAATCTTACGCATACGATAGCCCGTGTTCACGTGACGCCGCCGAGCGACCTTCGACCTGAAGAGTAGCGCGATCTTACGGAGCACGCGTATCACTGTTTTAGTGTTTAATCGCCGGTGCAAGGTGTACGTTTCGGGGCGGTCGATGCAAATATAATACGACTGGCCGGCATTCGCCGTGTATCACTTTCGCCGTGTCGCGTTTATTGACACGGTGCAAATGCTCGCAATGGCGTCGGTCTGAACGTATCGCTCGCGTTACCTCGGGGTATCGTTCGACGTGCCGCGTTAGTTGATCGTATTTTTCATCTCGAGTATAAGCGTGTTGTGCGTGCGAGTAACTATGGTCTGTCGTCTGCGGACGTTGTCGGCGTTCCCCGGAAGAAATAACCGGAGTCGACCGGAGGAGGAATGAATGAACGGGCTGTGGATGATAGGACCGCGGGAGGGGATGCGTCGTCGGCCGTCGCGTTGTGACGGCCTGCTGCCTGCTTGCCGATTTGCATCGAGGTAAGAGAGACACACACACCCGCACGTATGCGTGTTTATTCACTGTCGCGTGTACTTTGCGTACACACATCGAGGTGATTTATGCGTACTCGCGTTCACGCAATTCGTACGAACGTAATTCGTTCTACTTACGAGAGCTACTGGACTCGCTCTGTTGGATTATTATATCATAATGCATCGTTGCACCAATGGGATTCTAATTATTAAATTGAATCGCTCTGCTGGTAAGTTAAACACTATTCACGCCCTCGTAACGGACTCTTACTGTTCGCATAAACGACTTATCTGTCGTAAATGAGTTTAAGAATAAAATATTTTACAAGGAATTAAAGGCTTTATTTTATTTAATCCCATTGACCAATAGCTATATATTTAAACCATGCTAACATGTTGAATTTGTTATTATAGATTCCTATTGCTATTAAAAAGCTACCTGCAAAATTTTAAATCAATTCATGCGTTTTTT